CCCCAAAACCCCAAAACCCCAAAACCCCTAAGTATTATACAATTATTGACAATGAGACAAATATACATGTAAGTCCCTCTGCAATATTTGAGAAGCAGACTATGAAGCCTTGGAAAGAGCGCTTCGGAGCCAACAACTGAAAGCAGACATTTGAATAATCTCTCTCATTTTGGGATTTGGAGTGGAGATTATTTCTATCCAAAAGTTCTTTTCAAAGAAAGACCCTACTTTTTTCTAGGGTCTTTCCATTGTAGTTTAAAATATGAAAAATCACATTGATGATAGCTAGAATTTGGCCAAATAGAGGGCTCCTTTGTATATAGTGTATTAGTGAAACATTTGAGTGTTCCAGTCCAACTATTTGGTGTGATACAGCTCACTCATTGGACACAGTTTTCTCCTTTCCATTTGAAGAATGCTTTCAGAGATTCAATGATCTAGAATTTTCTAGGTCTGGGTCTTCCATATGACCATAGTGTTTGAATCCTCCCTGATATTAAATTATAGAAATCCTAGGTATTTCCATTCCTTATTTTTTTGAGCCTTCTTGTGTACCATTTGGCATATTTTCATTAGAATTCTTACCCTAAAGCTTAGTTTCTCGTCTCATTAAATTTGAGGAGGTTACTCTACTAAATAGGATATTTGAATGCTTCTCTTGGCAAAACTTGTTATAAAATACCTCTAAGTGTTGAATTACATCTGACATATGTCCTATAGACCAATATTGGTGATGTTTGTAGCAACACTCTTATGCTCAGGTAAGATTGCTCATGAGTTGGATTTTCCGGAGATTTTATACAAATCTCCAAACTATCGATTTCAATAAAATATCGAAATTTATTCGTAAATAGCCAGATTCCTTAGGAAAGTTCTGATTACGCACCCATTGGTGAGAAAGATCCAACCACTTTGTGTATAATCGATCAATTGGGTTTTCGTGAAATTTTTTGTTTCAAAAATTTTTATCTTAAAAATCTTATTTAATGCTTATAATATTAAAAATTCTGAAATCATTACGAAGATTTTAAAATGAAAAATTTCATAATTTTTAGCTACAAAAGAGGGCTGCTATACTTACTCTGGGAATAAAGATTTATAAAGCAGAATGCCTCTGAATTTGCCATATATACATTTTTCGATACTAATTCTTTGCTTAGCTTCTGCATTTGATGCCTCACAAAGTGTCATCTCTGGAGTAGCCTCTGGAGACAATTTGACTATTAATCAGACTTACACGATAACTGTCCAAGCAAAAGACTCAGGAGGAAATGATATTGTGACTGGAGGAGAGGATGTCTATATCCTTATTACAGACCCATGCACTCGGGGAGCCAATATGGCCTGAGTTGCCTCTGCTTTCACTCAAAGTGCAGTTAATGGTGGATAAAAAGTTATCAAGCTCACAGACAACACAGATGGAACATATTCAGCTAATTTTGACTTGAACCACATTGGAGATGCAACTATCTCAGTGCTCCAATCTGTAAGCCCAGGAATTACTGCTGAATACTACAACTCATTGAGTATCAGCGGAACTCCGGATGTAACGAACACGACAAGGTATCATAAAACTTCTTAGAAAATATGTTCACTACAAAAAATATTTCTAAATTTATTATTCTTCTAAAATGTCAGCATCTTTGCTGACTTAGGTTTTAGGCATAATCTCTTGGCTCTTTTAGGCCAAAATTACTGTTCTTCTTAGATCCATGCTAAATGGGTATGCGAGCTATTTTCGATTTTTTTAGGAAGTTCTTTTGATATAATAAGTGAATTATCTTATGAATGTAGCACTATTGACTTCAGTTATGCAAATGGCCAGGATATCACTCCTGGTCATGATGATAATGTAGCAGCAAGGTTTACAGGCAAGCTTACTGCTTTCCAGTCAGGAACTTGTAGTCTAACATTACTGCAAGATGATGGAGCCGATCTGTAAGTTTGGATATAAACTCTATAGCAAAATAAATGGAGTGACCCAGATTAATAATTATGGAGTAGTCATGTTTTCATCGACTACTTTTACTTATACCTTCAATGCATTCGAGACATATGACCTTCAGATTGACTGGAACGACCAAACACAAGGTGCTGCTTTGAAGCTTTCATGGGACTGTGGATCTGGAAGCACAGTTATCCCATCAAAAAATTATGAAACCACTAACGATATTGGAGGAAGCCCTTTACAAATTTCTGTGGGCTGTATAGATAAATATGAGCAGACTCCATCAACTACTGATCAGTGTAGACCCATCTGTGGAGATGGCTTTGTCATAGGAACTGAAGCCTGTGATGACAACAACATAGTTAATGGAGATGGCTGCAAGTCCGATTGCACTGCTGTAGAGTCAAGCTGGGTTTGATCTGGAGGCTCATCAACATCTAAAAGTGTTTGAGAAGAATGCACTCAGGGCTTCTATCAAAATGACCCATCTAACCCAACCTACTGAGTGACTAGATGAGGAGACGGATACAGAGTAGGCACTGAAATTTGTGACGATGCCAATACTGTTGATGAAGACGGATGCAAGTCAGACTGCTCTGTAGAATCTGGATATGTGTGAACTGGAGGAAATTCTACCAATCAAGATTCATGAGTGTTGTGTTCAACTGGATTTTATCCAAACGACTCAGTGCAACCAACTGAATGAATTACTCAATGAAATGATGGATACAGAGTTGGTTCAGAAGCTTGAGATGACGGCAACACTATTGATGGTGATGGCTGATCCTCTGATTGAAATAAAATTGAGCTTGCATGGAAATGAGATACTTCCTTTCCAAATGTATGTATTAGAGATTATAAATCTGTCCCTATGAGTTCCAGTGAAAAATCAACACAAGCTGGAACTTTATGTATTATTGCAATTGTAGTTTACTTGAATCTTATTGGAGGATCTCTAAGTAGCTCATCAACAAACTCTATACTATCTTCAGTGAACCAATTGCAGTTATTGATTTTATTCTTACTCTGAGACATCTTTATACCTCTCAGAGTTGTGACCTATCTGAGAACATTGACATCTTCTATGATTAATATCAACATTAACTGGAGTTTCTTCATAGTGTTCAGAAAAATCTCCGATTGGTTTGACTATCCCCAAGATAGGGCTGATTTTGATACAATAGAGATCAGTTCTGGAAGCTCCCTCATAAATTTAAATACTATAATTGGAGCATTCATCTTATACATCATTATCCACGTCATTTTCTGGTTCATCAGAAAATGAGTTAGGAAGTCTAAATAAACTCTTGCCAAAGCTAGTCAAGAAAGTGTACAGAAGTTTCACATTTGGTATGTATGTAATCCTAGTCTTTGAAGGCTTCATCAGCCTGTGTTTATGCTCCTTCTCTGAACTAGGAAGGTACAAAGTAAATGCAACTGGGGCAGAAAGAAACTCATTCTACTTCTCTGTGTTCTTTACTCTGATTTGCTTCGCTACTATTTTCCTCATCCTGTTATTATGGGTCCTGATCAAGCCAATACAACTAAACGCTAGGTGGTTCCTTCAGAAAGAACTGTACGATGGGATCAAGCTCAAAAGATGGGCCAGGCTGCAGCCAATTATGTTCCTAGTCAGGAGAGCGATCCTCTGCCTGATGATAATCTGTAAGCTATAGATAATACTTTAGTTGGAAGATCCTTTCACAGAACATTATTCATGAGCGCATATTTCTTGGTAAACCTAGCGCATTGAGTACTGATATGATGCATCAGACCATTTCAGAACACTTCTGAAAACATTACAGACATTGGAAATGAAATATTTATGACAACTTTCTGCTTATTCTTGGTCTTCCATAACTCAGAGAGTGACTGGAATGACACAAAAGTAACTATATTCTACTGGATGCTGGTCATGAACAACGTATTAGATGCAATGTTCTCCATAGGTAATTTATTGCTTATATTTAGCCATGTTCATTTACTCACTCTGTACTTATGTGTCGAAGCCAAAGCTGACCTTAGAGCAGAAGATTATGAAGATCTCACCACGGAAAATTAGAAGGATGGAACTACATGTGTAATGGCTTTGTTAACTCTCTAGTGCTAAGTGCTTACCCAAGAGAGATGAAAATACTGATCTCCGCTGCTATAAATACAGGGACAAACCTGTTAGAAGAGAAGGTCAAAGCTCCTATGTCTCTAATCCAAGCCTTTTAAAGCTCAATAGATGCTCTTAGAGCATGCTAAATTATAGAGGCTATCTTGGATGGAGCAGGCTATAGAGTAGAAAAGATCCTCAAGACTTTTTATGCATTCTCATCCTGTCACTTAGCACAGAAGAATGAAAATTTCTCAAAAGATAGAGGCTCTTGCACTCATAAAATTCCTTTTATCCAACACATTCTGGATTTATTCTGATGAATTTGTAGATCTCAATCTCTGGATGCAATCTTGGGGTTTTGGGGTTTTGGGGTTTTGGGG